GAGGTGTCCATAGGACTGTTTGGGTCTTTTATTGGAGAGGGCAAGTGCTCAGCTACATTTTCTGCCTTGCTTTTCTCAAGGTCTTGCCAGCAAGACTGATGAGGAGCCAACAACAAGATGGTGGGGAGCAATGTGGGGAAGAATGTCCACCATGGCTCACATGTGGTGAGGTCTCAAAGCTCCAGCATCAGGTCTTCCTCATCTCCCTTGTCACCTCCCTGCACGCAGTGGGAACCCAGCCTTTCCACAGTCACCAGAAAAGAGGTTGCAGTGAACTTGAGACCACTGAGGCTGGATAAAAGGGTCGAGGCCAGTGATATGAGGTTCAACAAGGCCTAGTGCCAGGTCCTGCACTTGGGTCAGAACAACCCCATGCAGCCCTACAGGCTTGGGGCAGAGTGGCTGGAAAGCTGCCCAGTGGAAAAGGAATTAGGGGTGCTGGTAAACAGCCGGGGTGAACAGGAGCTGGCAGTGTGTGCCCAGGTGGCCATGAAGGCCAGTGGCATCCTGGCTTGTATCAGCAATAGTGTGGTCAGCAGGACCAGGGCAGTGATTGTCCTCCTGTACTCAGCACTGGTGAGCCCACCTCAGATCCTCTGTTCTGTTTTGGGTCCCTCACTCCAAAAAAGTCATTGAGGTGCTGGAGTGTGTCCAGAGAAGGGAAATGGAGCTGGTGAAGGGTCTGGAGCACAAGGCTTATAAGGAGCGGCTGAGGGAGCTGGGGTTGTTTAACCTGAAGAAAAGGAGGGTCAGGGAAGACGTCATTGTTCTATACAACTACCTGAAAGGAGGTTGTGGTAAGGTGGGAGTCAGCCTCTTCTCCCAGGTAACAAGTGATAGCACAAGAGGGAATGGCCTCAATTTGCACCAGGCGAGGTTTAGATCAGATATTAGGAAAAGTTTTTTCACTGAAAGGGTGATCAGGCTTTGGAACAGGCTGCCCAGAGAAGCAGCTGAGTCACCATCCCTGAAAATGTTCAAAAGTGTGTGGATGTGGCACCTTGGGGACTTGGCTTGCTGGGGAACATGGCAGTGCTGGGTTAATGGCTGGACTTAATCTTAGAGGTCTTTTGCAACCTTAACTATTCTATGATTCTAAGACCCAAGTACAGGGTGATGCTGCTGCTTCCCCATAGCCTGCTTCTGCCCATGGCTGCATTCCCTGTCTCCTTGCCAGCAGAAGCAGAGGATTTATTTCTCACATTTTTGCAGTGGCTGCTGCTTCATGCCTCAGTTTCCCCACTTAGAGATACAGAGGATTTTTATTTCTCCTCTGGGATGTTTTGCCTCTTTGCTGCAGGGCTCTTGGGGACAGGAACCATCTGCTGGCATGTCTCTCCAGGGCCACACACAGTGGTGCCCCACAGGACCTGGCTGCTAATAGTAAACAGGCCTTTGGAGCCAGTTCAGACTATAAATTCACATTAGCACCAGGGCAAGACTGCACACAGCAGACAGAGCTGCGGTGGCCCCGGGTGTTCACTGTTACCCTCCTGGCCATGGCACTCCTTGGGTATGTGAGTGTGCGGCTCTGGCAGCTCCCCAGCCCTGCCTGAACCACATCAGCATCCCCTGCTTCACCCTCTGCCACAGAGGAGTATGGGCTGCTTACCCCTAACTAGGCTGCTTTGCTTTAACCCCCTTGCTTTTTGCCAAAACCCCTCTGCCACAAGGAACCGGACCTGCTCTTTAAGACTGTCTTTTCTAAAGCTGGAAGATAAAGCCCTTTTTTGGAATATACCTTAACAGAGATTAATTAAAAATTTTCAGTTTCTTTGGAGTTGCACATCAGGGAGCTTGTTTCTTTTTTTCCCCTCAAACACAACGTGGGTGGTTTTTCTGCAACAAGCTGGGGATGGGAGGAAGGTCCTTATTTATTTACTTCCCTATGGAAAGATCTCAGCTGGTATTAGTTAACAATCCAATTTTGTGGCAGGGAGATAATATTATGAGGGAAGGCGCTCTCTCAATGGCCTGAGCTGGGGCATCTGCACACTGAGGGCATTTACCCTCCCCAGTGCTGCTGAACAGAGAAGCAGCAAGGAGATACCACGATTCCTCACGGTCTCATCATGTAATGCACAGAGATAAATATTTTTGCCTGTAGCTGTGCCATTTGGCTGTACAGAAAAGACAAAGCCACCCAGTGCATATAAGTCTGCTCAGTACTGCTGCTCTTTTAAGCCTGGGTTGTTTTTTTTTAAGCTCACTCAGACTACTGGAGCACCATAAGGGGCTTGAAAAACAACATTCACATTTGGACTTTTCCAAAATATAAGGGAATTTAAAGCTTTAAAGTGGCAACATTTGCTTTTAAACTCTGAAAAGGCTGGGATCTCTTTTGCTATGTTCTCTATAACCTTCCAATACACTGCCCAGTGTTGCAAAAGGAAAAGGTGACCACAGCCAGTGTTTTTCACCACTCATTGCAACGTGGTAATGATCAAATAGCAGGGTGGGATACATCCTTATAAATCCATGCAGTCTAATCCCACGTCCAGCAAGCCACATTCTTGTCTTTCTTTGAACTTGAGTATTTCCCATTCAGAGGAGGTCGAACACAATCTTTTCAAGTCTCAGCCCACAGAGGATTAAATATTTGGCAACTCTAGGAACAGCAGGAGCTGGGCATGCATGTTCCCAGGCAGGATCCCAATCCTGTTCCCTCCCAGCTTTAGTGGGTGTTTCAGCCTGGTTTAGGCACTCAGTCCTCTGCTAAGACCCTGAATTCCTGTCCAGGAGCCAAAACAAATGGCATCATCTACTTGGGCTGCCTATTTGGAACCAGGGTTTCTTTCTCAGTGGGTCCATGGGAGATACCTATCCATAGGTAGGCAGCTTCGTAAGGCAAAAACAAAGAAAGAAAACCAACGCCAAAACTAGTTTTTAGACTACAACCACAAAGAATAAGGGTGGCAGCTCTGAACATAACATCTTGGTACCTCCAGAAATGCATGGTCTGATCCAAAACAGAGAGCACAAAGCTTTAGCAACTGCACTTAAATGCCCCACAGTTTGCTGCTTGCAGCATTTGTCTTACGGGCAGGCAGGCCAGACCCTCTGAAGCAGTGGAGGAAGCTCATCTCAATTCAGTCCTGCCCCAGGAAGGAGATGAACAGAAGCATTAGACAGAAAAGAGAAGCGGCAGCACCAGCACTTGCTCCTCTGTTTTGCAGTCAGCCCCATGGATATGATTGCACTGCAGGTCCTGCAGACCCACCCTGCACCATGGGGCTCACATAAGAGCTCAGTTTATGGCAGCTCAGGACTTTACTAGTTTGGGTGTATCCATCTGCAAATACCTAGCTGCTTATAAAGCCTCCCAGCTGAAATGTAAAAGCCTGTGTTAAGTAGTCCAGGAGCATGGCAGCTGCTGAAGACCAAAGGTTTTCCTTCAGACAACTTGGCATTACCATGTCTTTTTTGTTGCAGGCCCAAACCTCATTTCAATTTTCCAAGAGTAGGACCGTCTATTTAATATTGCCTCAACCTGCTCCCCTCTCAGGCCCTCCTCCTTCTTAGCTTTTAAGAAACAATTATTAAACTTTTGTTTAGTCTTGGGAAAAGCTGAAACAGTGTGAATTTATTCACCAAGGAGACGTGCACACTGTGTACCCTGGCTTTTCCTGAATTGCAGTTGTGACACAGGCTGCCATCTGCCTTTGGAAAACTTCCAGGGATGCCTGGCATCCTTTAGGTGCAATGTGAGTGTGCCCTAGAAAGCAGATACCAAACAAAAGCAGGAGCCCGGTCAGGCTCCGCTTCTTCTCTCCACCATTGATTGTACCAAAGCATATTACAATTTAACCTCTCTAACTATTAAAGTTACATTTAATAAAGAATTTGAGAGCAGAGCTCATTTAATTGTGGTGAGAAGCTGCTCTAATACAGGCACAATGCTACAGATATATGGGAATGTTATATTCAGAAATATAACATTCAAAAACACCCGTAGCACAGAAACGCTTATGACTTAGGTGACTGGGCATCAAAAGGACAGGTGAAGAATTGCATCCCCTTCCCTTTGCTACAGATTCAGGCCAAAGAGCACAAGCTTGTGGCTTCAGGACTAATTAAGGTACTTGTGAACCAGCAATTAAAGGCAGATGTTTATACTAGTTTTTTTGCTGTTGGCTTTTAGAAATATGTCTGCTAGGAGAAAGTGGTCAGCCTTCCCTATTACTATTTACTTCTTTCCCTGATGGGCAGTTGAGGGTACAGACAGCAAAAATTTCTTCCAAGAAGGGGTATTTGTTTATACTACTCTACACTTATCCTTCAGAGCAATGGATAATCCCCACTTTTATTTTTTTAAGTTTTGCAAGTTATAGAAATACACGATACACCAGCCCTTGGAAAACCCTGTCCAGGGCTTGGTTTACAGATGTCTCCAAGAGAAACAATCATGTAATAGTAAAGGGTATAGGCTGGGAAAACATGTTCCTCTTGTTTCCTTCATCAGTTATTGCTCTGGTCTGCTTGCTAATATCAGGATGAAGGCTTATTTTAAACTTAGAAGACTCTAAGCAGAAATAAAAGCTCTAGAATTTTTCTTTTAATTTTACTTTTAATACAACTTTGAAGAGAAGTAAAGGACCTGAAAAATCCCAGCTTAAGAAAACCTTTACCTGGCTGGGCTCTCACTCTCTAAGAAAGTTTTGTTTAATGGCACTAGCATAGGGTGCATAAAGGTTGCTTTCAGGGCTTCCTCCTTGCCTGATGGAGAACACTGTATGAGGTGCGAGCTGTGTGAGAAGGGGCATGTCTGTGAGATGTTTTGTGGGGGTTTTTGCCTTGGAAAACATAATTCTCTTGGCTCTGATCTTGTGTCAGCTTGCATTTAATTCCTCTCATGTGAAAGCAAACCACAGAACAATTGATGCAAAGTTGCCACACAGGGTTATCTTCATGTGCTTGTGTCCCAGCCCACTAGAGGCAGCACACAGTATTCACAGATGTTGTACTGGGATGGTTTTGTGGTCCTCTGTGGTTTCTTTTTTCTCCAGCTGCCTGAGGGGAAAGAGCATGTTTCTCATCCTCCTTGGCTGTAACAGAAGTGGAGGCAAGAGTGACTCCTGTGCCTGGCGTTGTTCTCCCTCTGTGATCGGCTCTCTGCCTGCCTCACAAACAGCAGATGTAAGGAAAGCTACTGCCAGGCTGCATGAGATGCACTGGAGGCACTAGAGACACAAGCAGAGTATCGACTGCTGTAGCAGATGATGTCTGTGACCTGGGAGAGCCACTACCTATTAGGGAGATAAAGCATGCAGGCAAGTTTTAAACAACAATCTGGCTTTGAGGTGATTCAGAACAGTATCTGCAGCTCTGTCAAGTTAAAATTGCAAAGTTCATCAGCTCTCGGGGTTCAGGACTTGAAGTCATCCACAAGCTGGAGGTAGTAAAAATGTCCCTTTGAGGAAACTGCATCTTTCTTCAAAGCAGCCTGAGCTATGGGTCCTCCTGGCAGGATGGTACCCCACCTGACCCATTGGTCTCCTCACAACAGAAGCTGGACTTTGATGAGCTGTGAAGCTAACCCATCCTTTCCTCCTGATACACAGCATAGGCTGATGTCAGGGGAAGCTCCTGGTAAGTCTGTGATTTCCCAATACCACTCTTGGTGGCAGGCTGTGCGAAGATGTCTGGTAAGCCAGTGCCTGAGCCTGATCTCCTGTGTCCCTCTCCCACTCTGTCATGCCAAGTACAATCAGGGCTCAGTCGTGCTGCTGTTTTTGGATTAAGACTTGTCTTGTTCGGTTTTGGCATCTTTTCACACCACTACATGTCTTTATCAGCCCATGTTCACCCTTCTCAGTGCAAAGTACTTCACAGCCTTAGAAACCCAACTATCTTCATGTTCACTGCACGCATGTGAGAGTCACTAGAAATCACAACCACGTAGATACCGCAAAATAGCCTTTATCTGTGGCAACTCCTGCCAGCTCGCTGTGCAGGAACTGGTGTGTGAAGCAGCACCACACAGCAGGGCTTGCTGACTAGCAGTGGCAAATAGCACACTGCATGTACATGCCTCTGCTCCAATTGCTTCCCTGCTGTTAGTCTTCTTATATCTATAAAGGGTAGAGAGGTATCAAATGATAAGTACAACCTTACATTTGTATACTTAAATCAACCAAATGCTTTCTAAGGAAAGAGGAAATAAGGAACACTTTGCATCCTTAAATCTCTTTGTTTTGCCGGAAGATTTCATTATTTAAGGCTTAATGAAAGAAGGGGGTGAAGGCTGTCAGCCAGCAGAGCCCTCTTGGCTAGCATTCAGCCTCCAGTGCCTTAAAGAGATTTGATGTGGCCATCAGCAGAGTGCCAGTTCCTATTGTAGTTATACCCAAAGCCTGGCAAGGAGGGATAGAGAGCAGGGGAGTGCCTGGGAGCTCAAGGAGCGAATACAGGCTTAAGCGAGTCCTGCAGCACTGTAAGTTCAGGATCCGGAGCTTCACCCAAGGGCACTGAACTCACAATGAACTCCTCAAATGCTATCAATACCACTGGGGTTGCTCTTGTTGCACAGGGCTGCAAGCACGATCCCCTCTTCCATTTCTATAGGAAAGACAATACAGTGTCAATGTACAATATGGTCTTTTTTTGCCTTCCAATAAAATGGATGATTAAGAACCGTAAGGTGGAGGCAAACCGCTTGCTCAGGCCCACTCAGACTGCAAGAGCAAAAGCCAAGTGATACCATGATGGGGGCAGAAATGTTTAAACCACATTGCAAGCTTGTTACTGGGTCTATTTTAGCAGTATTTCTCCCTGTTTCAACTTCTGTCATCAAGAATATGTGCTGGCATACTTTATTCATTGTCTCCCTGAACAGATGAGTCTTCAACTTTCCACCAGTGTCAGAGTGTCTGGTGAGTTCAGAGAGCATAATAAGCTGAAAGCCAGCACCTCTGGACAACCAGCCTGTAGACACTAGAAGCACATGGGTTCTCAGTGCAGAGCCAGGAAACACACCAAAAAAAAAAAAAAAAGAGAGAGAGAGAGAGAGAAAGCCCCAAGATTTGCAGGTTTTTTGAAGTAATTTCTATGAAAAAGCTTGTTTTGCCCTCAAGAGTAAGTCCACTCAAAATAATCATGATGTTCCTAATACTTCAGTCTGATGGGCCCTTAACATCCTTCTGAAAACAGTCCAACTGAAGTGACGCAGTACCATTCATTATCTAGGACATGCAAATCATCTTATGCTTTGTAAAATCTATATTATGAACTAAAAGCTCGATGCAAACAAAGCCAAAATAGTAGCTATCATCGGGGTTGATGTGGTGGTGGTAGTGGTATTTGTTTGTTTTCAAAGAGAAAAAAGGTTATCATTACTTTCCAAGCCAGAGGAATGGCAAGTGTCAAAAATGGATAGTTCTTCAGGATACCAAAAGCACCTAAATGCACACACAGGAATATCTGTACAGGCAGGCAGAATTACCTTACTGATATTGCTGTTTAGTAACTCAGGCACTGAGTTTAGTAACTCAGGCACTTTAATTTTTCTTATTAAAAAATAAAGAAATAGAAGAAAAAAAGGAAAGAAGAATTACAGCCCCCTTTCAGAAAAGAAATTATATACCCTGGTCTCCATCTGCTGAAGACTGTTGGGAATCTTTCTAGCCTTTCTTTGGAAAATACACTATAATAACTTTAACAGAAAAAGGACTAAATAAAATGAGGCTGGACATCAGAATCTGGCCATCAGATCCCGCAATTTGATCTGCTGTATCTTGTCCCATGTGTCCCATCTTGGCACCAAGAGAGGTCTGCTTAAGGGCAGCCGTCTGTCTGCTCCAGCTAACTATAGCACAGGAACTGCAATTATCAACATTTGCATTCCCCAAATTCCTTTGCTGATCTCCACTGGTATAGTATTATAGTTATTCTTTGTTTGCAAATATACATACTTTATCAGACTAATTAGCTGGTAACTACATTTAAACTGAAGCCACATGACAAAATCTTGAGGTTTTTTTAAGAAGTCACGTTATGATAAAATGACCTTCGCTCTGTAAGCCTTGGGCACAAATGACTTGCACTCAACAGATGGACAGAGGGATAAAGGCTAAATGTGAAATCAACACAAAAGCTTACAGAGTAACGTGGGTTACTGTAAAACCACTTTTCTAAAAAGCTGCTTATGCTCTTGGTTCCATTGTACAAAGAGAGACACAGAGATAGATGATGGAATTAACTCTAAGGCCAGCGTCATTCTAAGAAGTGGCAAAAATATTTTTAAACCTTCTACAAATAACATACCGTGTTCTTCATGTGTTAATTTTTTAGCAGCCCAGATGCTGCTTCGATGTGACTGCTTTTCTCTGCAACCTGTGTGATTAAGAACTGAGCAAGGATGAGTTTTATTGGGGTAACTTTTAAATTAAGCCCTTAAGTATCTGACTAATTTTGAATTCGGTGTGACTTAATCTCATGCTTTACCCTAAGTACCTGCTTAAGCATATGGCTGAAGTAGGGCTTAGCCAACATTGGTTGATCTTTGCCATACCCAGAAAGGTAAAAACTGCACTGGGCATTCCCCTCTGGTCATGGTGAAATTAGAAATGTGCAGCAAAACACTGCAAGAAAAGCCTATTGCTAATAACTGACATTTGCCCAAAAGTGTATTTTCATCCCAAACAAAGTTTGCCACATTGCATTGCTGTTTCTGAGACTGATAGGCTGCCCGTTGAAGAGGTGCTCATTCACTCAGGAACAATTAATTGGTGACACTGGCAATTATGTCTGTATTGATCACCTCAGCTTTCAGGTTCATTCAGGGGTAAGCAATAATGATATCACACCATGCTCTCTAGTTATGACAGGACTTGATTTGTGGTCTTTACGAAAATGAATTTGAGTTCAAATCAACAGTCTGAGAAGCTAAATGAACAGAGAGTCTCATAAGATCTGCAGAGAGGTGGTGAAAATCTTCATTGCAGTGTTCACATTCTGTGCATGTGTTGCAGTTTAACCCCAAATGGCAACTAAGACTCATGTAGCTGCTCACTCACTCCCCCCAGGTGGGATGGGGGATAGAATTGGAAGGGTAAAAGTGGGAAATTCATTCAGCACTTCCCACGGGAAAATGTTCATCCATCTCCAGGAAAGCAGGGCTCTGTCATGTGTAATGGTTACTTGGGAAGACAAACGACATCAAACATCACCTCCTTCCTTCTTCTTCTATGGTATGGAACATCCTTTTGGATAGTTTGAATCCTCTGTCTTTGCTGTGCTCCCTCACAGTTCTTGTGTACCTACTTATTGGCAGAGCGTGGGAAACTGAAAAGGCCTTGGCTCTGTGTAAGCACTGCTCAGCAATAAAGAAAACATCCCTGTGTTATCAACACTGTTTCCAGCACAAATCCAAACATAGCCCCAATGCTAGCTACTATGAAGAAAATTAACTCTATCCCAGCCAAAACCAGCACAGTGTGTTTGCAAGTTTAAGGTGTTTTTTTTAGTGGCAATATTTAGAAGAAATGCTCTTTTTTAGCAGAGAGATAAAAATATATGTACCTACATGAAAGACTGCAATGGTATAATGGAATGGTTAAGATCTGTGTGCCTAAATGAAGTTGTATGGTACCATCTGCGGGCCAGAACCACTGCACACTAACAGTGACCAAACTTACTATGGCCAAGTGTGAATTACAGGGTACAGACAGATTCATTTAAAAAGTGGCATCACTGTTTTTCTTTCAGATTCTCCTCCTTGGTATTGTCTACACTGTGAGCCTAACACAGCAGCAAAGAAATGTGGAGAGAAGCTTGGTGGCTGTTCTGCTGAGAAAACACCATTGCACTAAGCCCAGGCTGAGGACTCCTGCAGCAGTGGTCAGCTCTGTCCCGTGCTTGCACAGCTCCAGCACACTGCAGTTGGGGTTAATGGACAGGTTTCCGTGCTCCTATGATAACAGCAATAACCTGAATGATAAAACCTGATCATTGATCCTGAAAACAGGAGAGCAGGCCATTTGAGGCTGTTATCTGCCTCCTTGGCTTATTCAGTATTTCAGCAAGCAGTGCAATGCAGGCCAGGTCAAATCAAATCATAATTCAGTCCAAATCGGAATAATGCACCAGCAGCGCAGCCTAGGAACAAAATGGAAACAGTGTGATTTTCATGCTCAAGGTCTAAGACAGCACTGTGTAGCCTATGGGTACCTGCTGTGGCAATCAGGAAATATTATGGGATTGAAACCAATGCAATGAGTAAACCAGAAACCCTGGCCTTGGTCTGTATAAGTCATTGCACTGTATTTAATGTACTCACTGCTTTCAGTTTATAAGGTGATCTAGACAGTATTAAACAGTAAAAAAAATTAGGAACGTGCCCTGAGAATACTGTTGTACCTCTTTACTGATAACTGATTTTTACAGAGTGTTTCCAGATCATAGTCTTTAGAGTTAAGCAAATTTTGATGTAGAGGAAGCTTTGTTTGATGAGTTGTTTGATCCTGGATTGAAAAACATTATTTTCAAAATCTACCACAATATCATAAAGCTAAACCTAATGAGGAAAAAAAAAATCACAATCAGGCAGATGACGAAAAACAACCAAACCCACAAAATGCTACAGTATACCCAACAGGCTGGGATGCAATCTGATTTTGCAAGGAGAGAGGGGAAGATTCCCCCCAGAAGATTCCCATATAACTTCAGGTTATCCTAGAAACTGAAATGAGAAACAGCAGTATAAAAAGTTGTTAAACTGTACATTATATGCAAACCAACTGACCGTTCCTGTAGGATCACTCCTTGACTTCAAAAGATGCACATAGAGCTTGGCTCTGCCCATCAACTGCTTTAAACAGTAAGTGAAGGGTATAAACAAGGTATATACTGACCCTTGCAAAGCAAATGGGAGAAAGCCTGAATAATCTCCATGTGTATAATCGTCACTGCAAAGTTGGGGCAGTACTTATTACACAACATATGCATTCCAGCTGTAATATATGTCTGCAATGCAACTCACCCACCTAACACACAGACAGGAAATAAGGTCTTTTCAGTATCTGAGTGTCTGAGTGTAACAAGATAAAGCTGCTCAGTTTAACCTTATCCACACCAGAGCAAAAAGAAGCCCAGACAACTGTTCACATGCTTAAGGCATCTTGCTCCATCAGGATTTGAACTGAACCTAGCTGATGGATGTTTTTATGTTTTGGCAAGGGAGTAAAATGGCAGGTCCAGAGCCAGCTTCTGATGGTGAGATATTCTGTAGTCAAACAGAATAAGCCTGTCTACTAGCCACAGCTCAGCACTGCTTGGCCTCATGCCTTACACAGAGAGCATTATCATTTATCAGGTTTAGTCTTTTCATAAACTAGAGAAAAATTCTCATCAAACATACCCAGGATGCTTAAAGGGACACCCAAGAAACTGTCCTGACAAGTAGTTCTGCTGGATACATAAAACTAATCCTTTCAAATAGTTTTACTGAGCCAAGGAACATAAGCAAATGAAACTCACAGTTTCCACACTGGTAGCGTTCCTGTGCCAGTGGGACATGATAAGAACTAAGGGGTCCAATCAGAAGATGCTGTCTGGCACAGCACTTGACAACAAGGCAATGAACCCCGTGGGATTACATGTAGAAAGCCAGTTTACAAGGTTTGCAAGTCAGATTTGCAGGGCTAGACTCCAACGATACAAGCATCCCTTTAATTTCAAAGCTCATCTGATGCCCTAAAAGAGGGGCAGTTAGCCTGGAACCTCCCGAGACTCTCAGGAGATGGAGCAAGGAAGGTAAAAGTGATCGTGACCACTGTACCTACCCAGAACTTTGCACCTAGGGAGTGCTCCCTCTATCAATCCTTGCTGTGGGAGACAGCAGGTGGGACCACTCCCTGGCCTATCACATTTTACCTATACATGGATGATTTCCTCCCCCACTCTCTGTACCAGCTTACCCTTGAGAAAGAGGGAGAGGATTGCCTTCTGGCCCGCCCTGGAGGGCTTGTGTCATTACCAGGCACTTTATCATGAGAGCTTGTGATGGGGCTGGTCTTTGGTCCTCCATCCAGCCTCCCCTCTGCTGCCACCAGTGTGGAAACAGCGATGCAAAGTGTCTCCCTGCAGATATGGCTGGGAGACCATGGCTTTTTGGCTTCTTCTCAAATGGGTCACTTCACTTTGCATAATCCTTTTACAAAACAGACTTGGAAATTGTAGGAGTATGCTGAGTTATTACACAGTAATTCCAGCAGCATCTCTCAGGATATACTAAAATAAATTGTTAACTATACCCCTGGTCTTCAAAGACCATTTCTACCTCAAACCATTTATTAATCTCAGCTGCACTGAATTATTAAACTGAAATCCTCACTTACCTCCATCACTAAAAATACCAGGATGGCTTTTAGATCTATATTTCTACCTTTTACTGTAATGCATTCTTCATTTTAATTACTGGCACCATATTGGCAAAGGCCAGTGCCTTATCTTTGCAGGGTATTTGTCAATGTAAAAAAAAGGTTGACAGGTGCATAAATCATCAGGTGTGACAAGCAGTGAATTCCGAAGGAGAATTATGTGGAAAAAAGATTGTGTTATCTAGGTGAACCAAAGACCTGTCAAAGTGAAGCAACAGGGGAAACATCATCTGCTTTTCCTGCCACAAGTGTGCATTGTGCAAGACACTATTCTGGTGTTCATTCTTTTCCATGAAAGGGAAAGAGATCTTTTGCAAGAGTGAGTTTGTGGACTAAAAGGATAACAAGAGCTCCCAGATAAAATTTGTAAATGAAGAAATCAAGATTGCATCTAACCAAAACCACAGAAGACATCCAAACAACAATCCCAACCCAAAGTAAGACTCGGCTGTCTAATGACCCCTAACAATGAACTACTGCAGTCCTCCTATTGCCATTACCTTTTCTGATTCAAAGAACAGATGCTTTGCCATGAAAATCTCATCTTCAGGGTCTGTCAGTGGTCTAGCTGGTGGAGGCCCACCATACAAACTTCCTCTGTACCAGTACACAGGAGCTATACCTCACTCAGGAATGTTAAAAGTGTCATCACTGTGGCCCAATCCACTTAAGAGCTTCCCACTGACCTGCCAGCTGGTCAAGGCAACTAGAAATGTCTCCTTATGAAAGAAAAGGGTTGGTTGTGACAAGGGGTTGCCAGCTCTGTTTGCTTTTCTCTAACTAGAAGAGACACTTTAAAAAAAGACAGCACACACTGTCAGGTGAAACACTGGTGTTTGTAAACTGATGTCCTAACCTTGGCTGTTAGCCCATACTGAAGCCTCTCATGCTACATTTTCATTTTTGCTCCCCTGGTCAGCTGCCTGTGCCGAAGTCGTTCCTCTGTCTTGATGTGTGGACACACCTGCACACCAGCCGTGACATCTCACAGATTGAAGGTATGGACACTGCCTTGCAGGAAAGCTGGCCTTAGGTTCCCATGTAATTCCTGTCAGCTGATGATCAAGAATAATTATACCCAGTATTCAGGTTGGAGCACATGTGAGGAGACAGTAAAATGCCCAGCACTACATCCTCAGTATCCTAAAGCTAAACACAGTAACGGGCTTTCTTCTTCAGGGAACAGCAATTTATCCAGTCATCATCTTTTTAAATTCACCTCCACCTAGTAAAAAAGAGTAATTCTTTTTCTGTCTAGTTTCTTTCTTACATCCATGCTTTCAGCTTCATTACTTGTAAAAAACCTGAGACAAACAATAACTTCAGCAAATAAAGTAGAAATGCAGGGACATCTTTGGAAACCACACTGGATTTTTTCCTTACAAGACAAATAATGTATTACATCATATCTCTCATTCCTCTTCTAACCCTTTTAATAAGAAAAGACAAACACAAGCCAACATCTTATTGGGTCAAAACCTTTTAACCGACAGCATATGTGGTTGTGATTATAAAGGTGATATGGAAAGTAGTTTTCTGGGACCTCTAAAACCAGAAGGATGCTCTGGAGATGATTTATATAATGGTCCTGTTAGTTTTTCAAGCTAATCTAGTGCCAGCTGGATATACAGGAGTAATCACCCCTGAGGCTGAACCATTATTGCAATCTGCAGAGCAAGAATAGGACAGGATGGGAAAAACAACTTTCTCTTGTGCCACCCCCAATCAGCCTCAGTTTTGACCTAGGAGCTACATCCTGCAGGTATGAGAAGGAATCTTAAACATTCACCTCTCTGGAGTTATTGGATTTCCTTCATCATCTGTGCCCTTAAAGGGTAGATCTGGAAGATTCACTAACTCAGCTTACCTGTTGCCTTGTTATTTAGCATCAGGTGGAGAGACTAAATTTTGATAAACAGATATAATCACGTTTCTGCAAATTCTTAAACTCCAGCTCTGGCTCTTCTCTTCTACAGGAAAAAAAAACAAAAACACAGGAGAAATGAAATAGACCTTGTCCAACATACACGAACAGTCCTCTCCACCCACCAATACAATGGGCACTACACAGAAAGGGTGTCCTCCAGTGGACTGCTTTTAATTTACTGCATGAGGGTTAACATTAGAGTCACACTGAGGAACCAGCTACCAGAGCTGCTCTGAACACTATCAGAAATGCCTTCTTCTTCTGGGTAGATGTGTCTCTTATATACCTGGTACCCATGGTATGCTCATGAAAGCCCTGTGTTTTTATACTGTGCTCTCTTGTCCAGTGTCTGCATTTCTATATGGTTCTGATGAAAGCTTCAGTTTGCTTCTCATTTTAAAAAGGCACAAGGAAAATCAAAACACAGCATGCATGAAGAACAATATCTGCCGACACAAAGTAGGAGTGAATTTTCAAGGACAATCAGTTGATGATTCAATACAGAAAAATCCCTCTTTGCAATTTATAATGCTATTGAAGAAGGTGAATTTCATTTTTATTAATGAAAATGGTTCCTAGTGTTTATATATGCATTAACTATCTCACTCATTTTCAATAGTCACCACTGCACTACAGGAGCATAGGGACTACCTCATCTTCCAGACCTTGCTTCTGGTACAACAAAACTAGCTGGGACTTTAACATAATGTAGTTGGTCAACTCTTTTCAGTTTATATCCCATCGCCTCCTAAAGCCCCATCCTTCATTCTGTGCTGCTGGTGTTAGAGCCCACTGCAGTCCTCAGAAGTGGTTCTCTGCTATTCAGTGCAGTTGGCTTTTGAATGAAACATGAGGGTTTTTAGCACCTCAGGAGGCTGAGCATGCTTTAGCAGCCCAGCTCCAGCCTTACACACAAGGACTGCCCTTTAATTCCACTTAAATAAATTCAGTGTTGTTGGTTTTGCCCCTGCTCAAAAGGAGCTTAGTGGGAAAGTCAAAACAGATCTCAGCCAAAGGGAAAAAATAATAAAGCAAGCCCATAAATTAAGTCAAGCAAGTGTATCCTAGGAACAAGAGAGAGCTCATGCAGATGAGGCAAACCATGCCATGCATAGAAAGCAAATCCCCACTGCTGGTCCTCCCTCATGCCATTCCAAAGAAGCAAATCTCTGTGCGAAGTGTTTGAGGGCATTCTGGAAACAGAGGGGCCCTGGAAAAATAGTTAAGAAATAAATTCCACTGTTTGATGGCATTTGTTCCAAAGGAGACAAAGTGTCTTTTGTGAAGCATGCCCACCAGAAGCCTTGCAGAGTTGGAACTGCATCCACAGCCTGCACTGGTATTAGACCTAAAGCGAGATCTTATTGTTCAACCAAAACAGATTAAAAAATCTGACTAATCAACTAGGACTGAGCTGCATTTTTCCCAGGATATGAATCAACATAATTATAAATTTTAAAAATCTATTAGCATTATTATCGCAAGAAGAGTAGGACAGAAAGCAAGAAGGGGTAAGGTGCTTAAACACAGTGAGGAGATTATCCCTAGACTCCAACAATAAGCCCCTGCTCATTCATCATACAAAGTTATATCAAGTCTGTAGTATTGTCTGCTAACTAGAATGTATTAGGTAAGGATGAGATTTTTAGGGGGAAGTAAGCCCTTTCCAAAAATCCCTTTCAGTTCTGAAGGGTTTGGAAACCTAGCTAATGTAACATCTTACAAAAACCTCAGCAAAACACCTTCATGTTTACTTTCTTTGCTCTGAAACTCTGAGAAGTCAACACAGACAGATCACACTGCCTTATGTGTCATGCGAGATTCTGTGGGATTGCAGTGTAAAAGCCAAGTCCAGGCTGATTTACAGATATTGCCAGGGCAGGAAGAGCTTCATCAGCAGTGGTCCCAGAAAAAAGGCAGATCCCTGGAAGCATCTAATCCTCCTTTGGTAAGTGAAGTGCAAGATGCCTATAAAGTCTCCCTTGTAGCCAAAATCACTGTCTCAGCAGGGTCCATTAGCAGAGGGTGCATCGTCATCACTGTCTTGCCTTTCTCCTGGGAAAGAGAAATGGAAGGGAAAGGATGAGCTCTGTAAGCAAAACAAAGTAGAGAATGGGAAAGAGCTGAGAGACCAATTAAGCCCTGCACACATGTAGGCTCCCTGCATGGCAGCTGACCTACAAAGGATATTCAGTGTCGACAAAGGGCTGCACATTGAAATGATAAAGTAACCAGATGCAAAAGCAATGCAGCATTAAGATGTGTTGAGGGGGGGTAGATTACCCTCACATTAACTCTGTTATAAAGAGATGACCAACACCACATAAATCAAAGCAGATATATTGGCATAAACACCCAGATTCAGCTCTGTTATCTTGAGTATGCTTGGTAATAGTTTCCAACACTTTAAATGCAAAATAAGAAGGCAGTTTCCAGAAAAATTCTTTTATTGTATTTGCAATTATGCAGCTGGGTGAAGATGGAAGAAAACTTTCCCTGGAAAATCCAGTTCACCCACCACCCCATGGAAGGCAGAGCTTAAGTAGGCCATCACCACCTTGCAAGTGATGGGGAATGAGTCTGTTTTGTTCCTTCTTCTCCTACAAACATTCTTGCCTTTTCCTGCTGAGAAGAAGGCAGTGAGTGACAGTTGGGAATGAAGTAAAAGAGGCAAATGTGGGCTTGAAAACTCACAGTTCTGTGTTTGGCTTGTTTGCAAGTGAGCACTGAAGTGTGTCCCTAGACAGACATATCGTGGTGGGTGAAAGGAGCTCTTTTAAGCATAATAATCTTTTATAGTCTATCATATGAGAAGTAATCTGAGTTCAGATTAATGATTTTTCAACCTATTACACTGGCAGTAGCATACTTCCCAATCTTCCCCTTATTAAGAAACACTTCCACTCCTGCTTCCTCCTCTCAAGCCAGGGATATTGGAAGGATGAACCCTCCGAGACTGTTACTTCTATGGAGATCTTTAATAAAAATGCAATGACTGGAAATTGTAAAGATAGAGCAGTCTGAGGAACAGGAAATTTAAATAAACAAATATGCAAAACTCCTCGAGATGCTGCCAGGGCAGCAATTTCAGAAGGAAAACAATGCTGAATAACATAGTTTCCCCTAATAGCTGCAAGTCATTCAGCAACCCTGAATTAAGCTCACAACTCTGCTGTCTCTGCATGGCTTCACAAGAGAGGAATGAAATCCTTTATCAGCAGGACCAAAAAATCCTCAAAAGAGGGTAAATATTAGGAGGCCACAAAATCAGGGAGCTTGTAGCTGCCCTGCAATGATTATTAGGTTCATGCATCTCCCTATGCCCTGGCTCAGCCATGCTGAGCTAATGTTTGAGAATGTCATAATCTGAGCAGCCCCTTTGCTTTCAAAGACATAGCCTCGGCTGCCCAGTGATTTGTCCAAGAGACAGTTAAAATGAGTTTGGTTTCTTCTTTCCTTCCTCTCTTTCTTGAAAACATCCTTAAGGCAGGGTTATTGCACAGGGCACTACCTAATCACTGTGTTCAGTAACACATTGTACACTGAAATATAGAACAACTGGATCTTCACACTAAGGAGAAGATTAGACGGAGAAATCTGTTACAAACAAGCAGGACTAGCAACACAAGTGGGTGATGGGCTGATAATAAAGAATACTGCATTACTGCTAGGAACGATTCAGCAGCAAAAAAACAAACCAAAACAAAACAAAAAACCCAAGCAAACAAAAACCACCGGGGAGAAAAGTAGCACACACAGACACTGGACATCAGTAGGAGCCTCCAAGAGTGGCATCCTGGCTTCAGCAGTCTGCATGAACCCATGGATCAGCCTGGCTTCTGCTCAGCTGCAAATACACGTGCACAACTACATGCATCTACATGCCTAACTAAGACATGCAGGGGAAAGAAAATGGAAACTAACAGGAGTAAGAAAGGTGCCTGTAAGGACAGTGTCCCAGTTAATATCTGAGAAGTGGGCTGACCGATACCTTTTGTGCTACAAGTGTAGTTGCAATTTGTACCCTTGAAATCAATTTCTAATTTGTAATGACAAATTCGTTTGTTTTTTTGATGCCTGAATTTGGAGTCTTTGAAACATGCTGTTGATGCAGCCCTGGAAGCTGATGCTGCCACATTAAGCCTTAAAACAGGCACCATCTCCCCCCCTGCAAGAAAGTTCTGTCAGGGAGAGTTGGGTCAGGTATCCAGGACCTTTCAGTTCTTAGTCTCTCCTGGGACAGCTACCAAGAACTGATAAATGTCACCCAGAGTGCTGGTACAATGGCTTTGTGCCTAATAATCCACCAGGGACTTTGGCAGTAAAAATCAAAAGTTCTGCAAAACAGATATTGTCCATCTTTCAGTCCCTTCCATTCATGCAAGCTATGGGTAAAACAAGCTGTCTCTGTATGACAACAAAACCCTTCAAAGCAGTTTCCCTTAGAACACCGGTCTTGATGAGAAAGGTTTTTCAAATCACTACAAAAAACATAAGGTGAGATACTGAAGCATCCTGCTATCCCGCCCTCCAAGTTTCCATAACCTGTCCTGTCCACTCTGTCCTCAGGGCATCTGGGGACACAAGGCATGGAAACCAGACAGCTCTGCCTTTGCAGTTTTGCTGGGCTTTTTGGCAGAAGATTTAGGAGCACATTAGCAAAGTCCCAACACAGAACTAGAGACAGGGCAAGCACCCTCATTTCCACTTTGCAGCAAAAGGGACCAAAGTGACAGATCAACTGACCTTCTAAGACCACAAACCATGTCAGTGGCACAGCTCAGGCTTTGCTGTCCTGGCAAGCAGCTCACTCCTCTTCAGTAAGCTGCAGAGCTCAGGAGAGATCAAGACCCAAGAGGTGTCTTAGTCCACTGTGGGTGATCGTGTGGGGCTACAGCACAATACATTCTGGGTAAGGGACAGTCATATGGTGCTCAGAAAATATTAATTGCACACCTCTATATACATTCAGATCAATATCTCTGTGCAGCATGCTTCTGCTGCAAAAAAACCCTCCCCAGTGTATTCAAAACTGTTCATATC